ATTTAATTTTATGACTCTTTAGACAATCATTAAACTCAGTCAGTAAAAATTATCCAATACGAACCGCCAATTCTTCAGTCCACGTGGACTAGTTGGCAGCGGCATAATTTCTTTGTATTAGTTTTTCTGGCCTTTAACGGCGCCGACACCTTTAACTATTCACAATACCAGTTACTTAACGTGGAATCCTTGAATTCACATATTTCTGATTTGAACCGATTTCAATAAATAATTTTTTTTATTTATCAGAAACTCTTTTTTTAACAGTCACAAATAATGAAATGAAAATGAGAAATATATACTGATTCAACTTACTATCAGTTAGTTCATAGGTTTAAGTATTTCAAATATAATTCATCACATACGGAAAGTCTTGAAATCAATTACATTGATTACATTGATATTATCTGTTTGACACCTTACCGTTTGTGAAGTCCTTCTCTTTTCCAGAAGAAATGAAGACTATGGTATTATAGTTAATTCTTAATTTATTATAGTCTTAGGTGACAGGTAAGAACAAAACTGTGAAATTATTTGGGAGAGTAGCTGTACGGAAGGTAGGTATGTGGGGTTAAAATTGAATATGAAGTTCATAATATATTGTGTAAAACATTAACATTTACATAGAAATAAAAAATTTACAGGTAGACAAAACATGAGCTTGATATCTGTTGTACTAGCTGAGTGAGAATGTCAACTTAATAATGAAAGCTGTGAAATATGATAGATATTTCACCTGTCTTATCAGCTTTGTGGGGAGAGATTTGAACTGCATTGACGATGAAATAAAAAAACATACCCAGAATGATACAATAAATAAATGTGAACATTTACTGAAACGGGAAAGGCTGAAGATCAGTTGGTTGCATCGAAAGATGCAACCTCTGTTGTGGAGGAAATCAGAGTTGAACTTTTTAGTTCATCCTAATGAGTTAGGTACTGCGTAAATTTGAAGTATATTTCACAAAAAATGTTCTGTTTATGAATACCTTGTCATATTTAATAATGTCGCCTATTAAAAAAAGAGTTAAGAAATTATACAGATACGTATCTTAACAAAATTATCATATAATATGTAACTATGCTCAAAATGCACTAAATTTGCTTGGAGATCGTTCAGTAAACTAAATCTATATTTACGCTCCATTCAGACAGAAGGCTTTCTAAAATGGAACAAGTTTTCAGATATGAAGGAGAAAACATATTTTCATCTTAAGAAAATCACTATGATAATTGAAAATAAATTGATACAATAAAAAATTACAAAGCAATTAGATTACAAACTGATATAAGTATTTTCTCAAAAGTTACCAGAAAATGATTTGATTAAATTTTGGGGTGGATTATAATTAGGTTGTTTCATAAGTTCAGTCCCTTTTTATGAGATTTCAAACTGTAATATCTCAGTGAATGCTTATTCAGTTTAATTGAAATAAGCGCAATTTCAATCAATGCACTTTTGCCAACGTAACACAAGTCGATTGATTCCGTCATCATAAAAATTGTATATTCGGGATTCGATGAAGAGGACAAAGGCCGTTTTTGCCTGGTCCTGATTAGCGAAGGTTCTGCCGGTATGTTCGAAAAGATGGTAGTCGGTTGGCGAGATGTTGGGGAGTAAGGTGGATGAGGCAGAACTCCGATGCTCAAATCGTTTAATTTTCGGACGGTGATTTGTGGAACGTACGGATGGGCGTTGTCGTGGAGCAGAATCGGACCCCTTTTGTTGACCAGTGCCGGCTGCTGACGAAATTTTCGATATATTTTGTCGATTTCCTCACAATAGGACTCTGCTGTGATGGTTTGGCCTGGTTGCAGAAAGTTATAGTGAATCATACCAGCCGCTGACCACCATACAGTAACCATGTTTTATTGTGGGTTTTCGCCTTTGGAAAGTGCCTGGGTGGCTCATCGGTGTCCAACCACTGTCCTGAACATCTCCTGTTGTAGAAGATCCACTTTTCATCACACGTGACGATCCGACCCAAAAAATATCGTTTTGGTTGCGCAAAAAAAAAGAAGAACAGACCTTGAAACATGACAATTTCTGTCGATCGTTCAAATCGTGGAGCACCCACTTTTTGAGCTTCTTGACCTTTCCAATACGTTTTAAATCATCAAAAACCGCATGAGAGCTGACGCCCACTTCTCTCGTCATTCCACGCACTGCTTGTGATAGTTCAGTCTTCACCAGTGTCCTCAAATCCTAGTCCTGGATTACTGTAGGTCGACCACTTTGGACTTCATCTTCGAGGCTAAAATCTCCGAAACAAAATTTTGCAACCATACTTAAACAGGGCATTCAATAACACTAAGGGAAGATGGGGGAATCACGGACGCGGGGTAATCGCGGACGTGTATGTTTCACTATGTTAAAAAAATGAAAGATATTCCTAGTGATGCAATCGTGAGTCCATCCCAGACGTAGTGCCGCACAATAAGTGGTGAAGTGACGACGCGCTCGTTTTACAAGGTGTGTTTATTTGAAGATTTATCAACAATTTCACATATATTTTTGACTAAAATTGAACAGGTGTATAATATTTTAGGTATTACATAGAAATATCACATTATTTTTTCCTATTTTGTATCATTTAACAATGTTTTTAGGGAGTAACCGCATGCACCACGCTATTCTAAATTCAAATAAAAATATTGGTTTGTGGTATTGTGTGTGTCGGCTAATGGCAGATGATTTTAGGGGGGTAATCCCGGCCATCCGCAATTACCCCTACACACCGTATAGTTCATATAGTTTATTTTATATCCTTTTTTTCTGTCCTGCATCTATATGAAATTGTAAATGATGGTTTTTAAAATATACTTACATTTATCTGACTATATTTCAGATGTCACGAAATTACCAAAGAAAAACTGAGATCAAATACAAATTAGAAGACAGAAAAGGCTATTCAAGATGTTGAAAGTAAAACACTTTCATTTGGAAAAGCAGCTGCTATTTATTCTATTCCGAAAAGTAGTATACACGAATATCTCAAGAAAGAAGTTATAAAGGAGCCAAAAACTGGCAGAAAGGCTATATTTTCTGAAGAACAAGAAAGAGAGTTGGTTGAAATGCAGTAAATTATTTTATGGTTTGACTATAGAAATGGTACGAAAAATAGCATTCAAATTTGCCGAAGTGAATAATTTAAAGCACAATTTTGACAAAACATCTCTAATGGCAGGAAAAGGCTGGTTCTATGGATTTAAGAAAAGGCACCCTAATATTTCACTACGTAAACCTGAATCTACTTCTATCAATGGAATTGCGGCTATTAATGAAACAGAAGTGAACATGTTCTTCAATAATTTGGAAATTTTATAAACCAAACACCACTTTGATGCCAATCGAATATACAATGTGGACGAGACAGGTATATCCAATGTCCAAAGAAAAGCAAGGATTTTAGCACCAAAAGGCCAGAAACAAGTCGGTATGGCAACAAGTGGTGAAAGAGGTTCTACAACGACAGTTGCCTGCGCTTGTAATGCTTCAGGTAAGTATATTCCTTCATTTTTTATTTTGAAGAAGAAGCGTATGAATGCTCAGTTGTTACGTGTAGGCAATCCTGATATGATAGCAGCCGTAAGTGATTCAGGTTGGGTCAACGAGAACTTATTTGTAGATTGGTTACACCACTTCATATATTTTGCTAATCCAACAGTTGCGAATGAAGGTGATGGAAAGAAAAACGAGTATTATTGCCTAATTTGTGGTGGAAAGTATAAAGATCCACCTAATGAAGACAGGATAAAATGCTACAAACGTAATTTATTGGCCCACGAAAACTGTACGAGTGGTGAAAATACATCACTAGGGTTTGTTTGTGATTTCTGTTCTGATTACAGTATGTTCGTAATTACCCCACAGACCATCCGCAATTATCCCACGTCTTGTGGGGTAATCCGGGACTACAATGTTTTGTTTTTGTATTAATATTTTATTTTATATGGAACATTTATCTACGTTGATTATGAGAACATAAGATTGATTAGTTGTATTTAACTTTTAGTAGTAAATAGCATTTATAACCTCAACTGGTTTTGTTCAATTTCAGTTCTTCCTTAGGTGTTCGCAATTACGCNGTAGTTTATGAAACAATACAAAACATCACTAACCCTCTCGCATCCAAGTTAAATAGTACATTTTGGTTTTATTTTTGGTTCTTAATCAGTCCTTGAGGGTTTATTTTCAAAAACATCCTAGTAAGTCACCCTCTAGGTCGTAACAATATGTTTTGATTATATCAAATATCATTCCCATATAATATTTGAATGAAAATATGTTACTTGGAATTTCAAATGTAAAATAATATTTATATGACAGTTTATTAATAGTTTGACTGTTATCAAAGGTATACTACAAAGGTAGTATACCTTTGTATTCTTATATTCATCTCTTTTTGATGCTTTACATATTTCAATGAATAAAGTAACTGAAATTTCCAAAATGTTATTTATAATACTAATATTTATTCGCTTACTCATTCGCATATATTTATTGAAATAAACGACCTTTCTTTTTCGATATTACCAATGAATTCCTTTATTGACAACAATCTTCCAAAAATTTGTTTCTACTACTTAAGAGACGTCAAATAAAGAAACTCACACTACCAAGTCTGAGTTACTTTATTTGATATGTCCAGCTTGGGAGGCCCAATCAGCAGCTACCGCCAACATGGCTCTCGGATCCTGATAATACGCAACCCTAAAGCCATGTAGCCCGAGCACATAAGAATAATATGTGTTCCCCTAATTAAACCCAATAACTAGTATCGTAAAACGTAAAGTGACCAGATAGCCTGCATATGCATTTCTACTGATATACTTCATGATTTCACGAGCCGTCATAGACTTTTAGGTACTTGTTTTATGCATATTCTAGATTGTGTTCGGAATTCGTAACAGTAACAGTAGATGACCTGCAAGCATCCTTAAGATCTGTTGTTTTTTGTTAAATTGAATATCCAAAATTCACACTTTTGTATACACAAACCAGGCGACTGCTATCAACATATTGTGTCATTATAATAAAAAATTTATTGGGTAGTACAGTTTGACTTCAATGTTTTCTACCCCAAAAACTCAATGTTTAAAAATTTGAAAATAGATTTCCCGCACAAAAATTATCCTAACCTCACTAAAGTTTATTGAGAAATGTCTAAAGCGCATCCATTGGTTTACTGGCGCATCATTGATTCAATGTAATCAAGTAATAACAGCAACATTTCCAAATCATTATTTTTTCTGGATTTCAAGTTTGTTCAGTCTCCAAACAAAATGGAATTTCTTGAAAATGCATCTAAGAGTGAAGACCAAATCCAACGGGAAAAAAATATCCAAGAAAGAGATGCATTTCTTGCAAGTTTCCTGGATGATCCTGAGTTTGCCGAAGCTGCGGAGGCCATAGGTTTATTCCAATCCGCAGTGAAAAAAAAATCTGTTAGAAGAAAACCCAAGGATGTAAAACCCAAATTTCACGATAAAGAGCACATTGAAAGACGCTGGTCACTACGACTTCAGATGAAAGAACCCATTTTCACTAAAGACGAGTTATTTGATGCACCCACTTTCCAAAAAAGGAGATACAGTGATTATGATTACGAAGACCTTGAGGAAGTTGTGTATAGACCTACTAAAAAAACTAGTGCTCACAAGAAACATTCTGATAGACCTCCTATTATATCAGTATCCGAAGTTACAGAAGAAATGATAAATAGAATTGCTAAGGACCTATCGGTGAAGAAGTACTCAAATATGGGAACGACCTGTCATCAGTGCCGTCAGAAAACCCTAGATCAGAAGACCAGCTGCCGGAATGCTGAGTGTATTGGCGTGAGAGGGCAATTTTGCGGTATATGCTTGGAAAACAGGTAAGTTACAAAATTAGATTTGTTGTTTCTTCTTATCACCAGACAAATGCCCTTTTTTAATTAGAAATCTTCAATTGTTGAAAATATTTAATAATCTCATAACATCAATTTCTTTAGATATGGTGAAGATGCTATCGAGGCTTTGAAGAATCCCAATTGGACGTGCCCCGTATGTAGAGGGATATGTAATTGTTCATTGTGTAGAAGAAAAGAAGGAAAGAGGCCAACGGGTATACTGACTCCGTTGGCCCATCACGCAGGTTATAATTCAGTGAAAGCATTCTTGGACAGTTTGAAAGGAAAAGGTAAAATATGTTTGTATATAGCTATTGAAACTCCAATTTATATTCTTTTAGGTGATTATATTAACGAACATGAGGATCCAAACAATTTACTTGGAATTTCAATGGGACTGAAATATTACCAGATGGGAGGCGGTATAAAACTTTCATTTGATTATCAAGACGATCACAATTTTTATGGTTGAGGAATGCATACAGACAAAGGGAACTGTTATTCATGTCACAGCTATTCGTTAGTATAACTATTGTGGATAGTATAAAAAAATGTGATAACTATTTCACTTACGGAATGGACCTCTTGCATGACTGATGGTATTGTATGATTCAGGTTCTGATCCCGGGGATCCACCTAGACGAAGGCTTGCGGGAATGCTTCAGAAAGAGAAGAGCCTAGATATAACACAACAGCCCAATACAGAATATTGAATATGGATAAATAAAACTTAAAATAGAAGCATTCAAATCATTATGAAAATTAGCGGGGTTATGTTAAATCCAGAAAATATCCAATGGTTAGTTGCCCTTGAAAGTAGATCACTTGCACAGTTGGCTCCCCCTAGAACAGTGTATTGGATTCGCCCCTGGTTTGACTGTGGAGTTGCTAGTTAGTTATTTGATTTTTAGATTTGGATATTTCATTGCTTTATTGAATCTTTTACCATACATAACATATTTACTCACAAATTGGTGGGTAATTTATTGGAATAAGTTGAAGAGATAATGAAATATAACATTGCTAAATTGAATAAAGGCAATAATTTATTTGGCAACTCCTCAAGGTTTTGGGATTAGCCAGTAATGCGCAAGTTCAACATTTTTTATTGAGAACATCACAGACAATTTCCAGAGTTTCACGCCCAAAAGACTGTATAAATGAGAGGTCAAGAAAAAATCTGATACAAGCAAAATATGGATTTATTTACTTTTTTAATGATGTTCAAAAATGTATTATGAGAATAACTTAATTGAATCAAGTCTTGAGAAAAGTCTTACTTAGTAATTGATGAGCTACCAGATTGGAAGTTGCAGAATTTATTCTAGCTTTATTGAAATTATCATTTTGAAGTTCTTTGTGAAATTGTAGTTTTTTCACACAGAATATTTAAAAAAATTTATAGACACTTCACTAAATATCATTACATAGTACAACTACAGCTTTGATACGTATCTACCGACACATAGTGAAGTATAATCTGCTAAATAGATTCAGCAGAGTTATCATTGTTATATCCAAATAATACCCTGATGAATTTTTCGTGTTGATCCCTTTTTTGAAAAAAATTTCCACAATTGAAACTTTGACAAAAATTGTTTACTAATGAAATCCTTAAAGGTGCCTTAATGTGGTAAATATCCTTAAAACAGAATTCCTCATTCGGCAAACTGATGACAGCAGCGGAATTATCATCCCCTTGATCATACACTCACTTTGAATCTGAATTTCTGAGAAGTTTGAATGTGGTTGTTTTTATTGTAGTCGTCAGGGTACTACTATTTTCGAGTCGATTACTATAATTGAAGCAAACTAACTGTTTCAACAATAAACCTGTAGCATCACCTGCTAACTAGAATTTCTGACATATCCTATATCTGGTACTAATTCCTCATCATATTTTTAGGGAATGGATTATTGTCAGCGCCTTTAGGGGAAGATCCTAAAAGTACAAGAGTATCAGGGTGCATTTATGCACCATACTTGATTCATATACAGGTTTAAAGTCATAAGAATTCATTTTTTTCATTTGTTATTTCTACAAAGTTACATCTGATGCACATAGATATTATGGGTTAGTATATATAAGGTTATATGCTCCTGCATGAATGTTACCACTGAAAATGAATGAACTACTTATGATTTCTTATGACTTACCCCTCATTCATTACTTTCATTTCATTTTACACTCCCTAAAATTTCAAATGTTTTTTTTATCCTTATGTAAAATGTACTTTCATGTATAATATTCTCAAAGATGAAATATTTTATATGTCATAGTTTGCGATAGCTCCTCATTGTTAATTTTTTCATTCCCTCATCAAGTACACTTTTTTTAAATGTGCCTTTACTCTTTACTCGTTACTCATTAATGCTTCTCTGATGTCCTTCCAACAAGTTCAACTTCTTTCTGTGATGTTATTTTAACTTTATGTCAAAATTATTTGAGGTTATTAGTTAACGGGGTTAGTGGTTTTTATGGGCGTCGACCTTCGTCATTTATCCAGTCTACAGGTGATGTGGATTTGGGAAATTATCGGGCTCATTGCCCTTCACCTCTACATTAAGTTATGGTACTTTACTAGTTTTCCTATAGATGCAGGAATAAATCCTCAATACGGCCTTCAACCGGTGTAGATACCTTCCAAGGGATTGCTGTCTTGCTTTTCCTAGACAGAATGATGCAGGAATCCGGCCTCCAACCGGCGTAGTAGACACCATTCAGCCACTAGCTTTATATAATTTACTGTGATAATTCACAATATATGAATAAAAACGCTTTCTGTGAAATTTCACATGCATACAAGCCTTCAAACCATTATTTTCCGAAAGCCTTGGCAAACTGGCAAAAGCACATCAGTCGGCCACCATTTTCACCGAAAACATTTAAGGTTATGTTTATTCTTCCCTTCATTATTCACCATTTATTTATACATTTATTAACATCATTTTTTGTGTTTATTTATGCCATTGCATAAAAACTAAACGGTGCTCGTTTGGATAAATCCAACTTAAATTCAAATGCGATATGAAAATGATAGATTGATTAAATTGATATATGTAGCCATTACTACGTGGTAGGAGATCATCATGAAAAATGAGAAATAGAACTTCCTATGTTTTGTACCACTTGTATTTGTAACTATCGTTGCTGCAGTTTCGTCTTATGTTACGTTGTATTCGTTTAAAAATATAGGACAAAACTGCAGTTACGATAGTTACAAATACAAATGATAAAAAAACACGAAGTTTTATTTTCATTCTTCATGAGAGATTAATTATTGATGGGCAGGTGGTGACTTACAAATTTTGCCTCATTGATGATCTAGTGGATATGAAATTACCTACATAGTGTTACTTCGAAAGAGTAATGCTTATCAGAAAAATCATTGTCAACCACTTTCAAACAAAAATCATAGTTCATCTACAGATATGCTGCGTTCAGCGAGGCGCTGAACACTTTTTGAATCGACTAGAATCTATATTAGATGTTATGTTATATCTCATTATATTCATTTCTAACAAATATGAATGGACTGATCCGTTACTTGATGGAAATTAATAACACATGATAATAATTAAACAATGTTCACAAACATTTTTCATTTCTAAACGCGTTTCGCTAACACCGTATCTTCCTCGATAGAGGTAACATTTTTTATTACTAGAAATGTTTGTAAAAATGTTTGTCATTATCATGGATTTCTAACAATAGGTGTACCGGTTTTCAATTTTTATGGTTGAGGAATGCATACAGACAAAATCAGAACTGTCAACTGTCAGATAATGTAGCGTAACCATTTAACACAGAAAAGATCACTTGATTTTATTCAGCGACTGTATTCAGGAATTATCCATCCACCACATCACAGCATAGGTAACAATCAGAATGGACACTTGGTAAGCCGCCTTTGATGTGGAAAAGTATCTAGACGCCATTTTGGGAAGTAACGATAAGAGGACAGGACTTGCGAAATGGTTTTGGACAGGTTCGCACTCAAACTTTTTTATATATTATCCAAAATGCTCATATAATTTTGATATACCTTACGGAAACTAATTTCTAAAAAGAGAACATATTTGAAAAGATGTGAATATGTACAAAAAAAAATCTCCAGTCAAGGTAAATCGTCAGAAAGTTGCAGTAGAAACAACTATTATTAACGACATTTTTTCGAAATTTAGTCAAGAAATGCTATTTCTACAATTTTTTAATGAAATGACTAGTATCTAATGATATTTAGTGCCATTATTTTAAGTTCAATTTCCAAAGTTCAGTTTCACATACCTGTTCGTGAAAATATATGTACATGTTGCAACAACTTCAAATAAGCAATCAAAGGTTCATGTAAAAGTACTTTTAATTATAATTCAAATGTTTAAATAGTAAATGACTTAATCACATTGATTTGTTGAATTTTGTAGTATTTTGTTCAAGAAAATATTTCCAATAAAAATCCAACATCTCTTGACAGTAGGATAGGGCAGATGTCTACCGAAAAAACTACTTCCCTGACTAATACCACGACGAATTTTAAGTGATATCCAACACATTTATGAACATTTCCTTGCAGAGACAAATCTTGCAAGTGGTTGTCTATTGGATAAAATTGAATGTCACTGAGTGTTTCATACTTGTCAGTCATCAGACTGATTTTGATTTCTGTAGTATTTTGTGGTGAATGAACATGAACAAACATAGAATCAAAATATAGCAACTTTTATTATTTGAATGTACAACTGATACAAAAATGAACATCACATTATCAGGAAGGTTAAAGAATTATAGTACAAAAACTCAAAGTGTCTCCTACCAACAGTCTTTGAACAAAAGATGAAAATGGTATGGTAATTCGGATTCACACACTATAACTAGTTTTGATAAATATGAACTATTGGTAAAAGACAACTAAACGAAATATTTTACAAACTAACACAATTACAACTCATCTTTCTCATCTAAATCTACATCAGAGAGATCGATATCTTCTTCTTCTGGCAGCACACCATCCTTGCCATCCCAAGGTTCGATGGTGTTGATTTTTGGAAGTGAAGTGCCCTTTATAGGAGCAGTGTTGCCTTTACCATACGACAAATCTCTGGAAAAAATATCAATTTAAAAACCAAATATAAGGAACAATAGATCAAATATTCAGTAAAATTTGTGAGCAGAATTTAATTTTGGTTACAGAATAACAAAAGGCGATGGATACCTGGATGGCAATTTTCCATTAATTACAGTAGAAAACATGTAAGGATTAAGTATCAATCAGGTAGCAAGTAACATTAGGACCAATAACAAAATAAAAATATTTAATGACCCTCATTATGCGAGATAATGATTCATTCCTCTAGATGCATAAAAAACCATCAACATAGCTGTAAGAAGTAGTCATCTCCTGATGATGCTAACTTGGTTACTGAAATGCGCGTCGCTGTCGAGAGACAGCATTTTTCTTCTGGTGAGAGTGGACTCAATAGATTCATTTCACGCCAGAGGTTCTGAATTTTACTTACCAAGACAAATGAAAATGTGGATTTAATTTTTTCTTTGCTTTTAATGAAACACTCATTTCTAAAACAAACATTTTCACTGGAAAAAATGACACACCAAATGAAAAAAACCAAAGCGGGAGCATCGCTCCATGAGAGAATTCTCGAGAACAATTAAATAAGACCGTCTGTGAGCTACAATTAAATAAGACCGTCTGTGAGCTACAACTAAAGAAAAGCCTTCTGCAGCCAAAGAGTCAATGTTATCAATGTAAATGACGCTACTGATTGATCCCCAAGTCCTTCACCAAATCATGCCCAATTTTCCCAGATTTTAGAATTAAGGTGACCTGAATCAGTCTCCATGCTGTAGGTATGTTTTTACAAATGTGTTCCGATAATTAAACAATGGACAAAAAGAATTGGACAATTGACTTTTTGTCAAAATGGCAGGTGGATAGCAGGTCCAGAATTATTAAAACACCCTGAAAAATGTGGCCGGTATGAAAAACGACAAACTTGGAGGAATTGGAAGTAAGAATGAAAGTGGTAATATGATTTCATTCAGTAGGTATCTCAAAAACTCTTTTTGCCTGATTCTGAGAGATTTCCAAATTGGAATATAATTTTGTGTTCAACAGCATGGATGTTATGATTCATACAAAATTATAAAAACCCAAGAAAATTCTGGGAAACGTAAATCCTTCAGAACTGTTTGGAGCTGAGGTATTACTCCTTTGAAGTTAGAAGATGGAAACCAAGTTCTTCCAGATGGTAGACTATTTCATTTTTCACCAGTTTTGAATGAAGATGGACTCATATGTTTTGAAATGTTGTGTATCAAGTAAAATAATTTATTTTTATCATTTGTACAAATTACCTTTGCCTGTGGCAAAAATATGCTACTGCTTTCAGGTTTATTAAGAATATTTTTTTACTATTTTTTGCATGTTTCTTGAAGGAGAATAAAATATTCTCAGCAGACAAGTGGAATTGGTATGTTGCTCACAAAGTTAATGATTTAAATTACACAGTCAACTGTTCTCCCAACAAATTCTACTGAAGTGGTTGCAAATAAGCAACAGGAAGGAAGATTGAACAGTGCCTCTGACTATGACTACAAAGTAGCCAATTATTTTGGATCCAAATAACAGAAAAACTTCATTGATTATTAAAAAATACCATGAAGAATTCAATCATTTTGGACAAGAATCTCTAGTAAACAACTCAAGACAAACACTTTTGCTTTCTTGCTCAAGATCAAGAAACGAGAAAGGTATCGCTATACTACTTTCAATACTTGTTTTACACTTTGTTGACTTTTTTCTGGGTTTCTGAAGAATTTTGATTCTATAATCATTTTTATCATAAAAGAGAAATAACATTGAAGTTCTTACCTCAAAAATTCATAGATTCCATCTTTGGAAAATGATCCACGGAGTATTGAATATTTCAGTTTCTTAGGGCTGATAACTGCCATAGCCGGATACCCAAAACCACCAATGTCAACGGCATTTTCCAATTCCTGTTGAGAACCAGCCTCAGACCATACCCATCTAAAAGAATTACGAATGAAAATTTTACATAGCAACTTCTTTTAAGTGAATAGTAATTTTCAAATTATGATGAAAAATCTAATGCCTACCCCCACATCTTCTTCTTGAATTTCTCTCCAAGGGTTGTGAGAAGCTCAATGTACCCATTTCTACATTCGGACTGGCAATCGAGGATATGTGGGAGCACTGCCACAACACAAAGCGGTTTTCCGTCACAGGATTCTTTGAAGGAGTCTTCGCTAATGATTTGGGTAACTTCTGGAGCTGGAATATTTTCAGCTAACTTGTCTAGAGCCCAATTGACGATATCACTTGCTGTTCTACCCCCGTCGTAATCCTCAGGTGAATTTTTGGCACCAGGTCCAAAGAATTTTATTGTTGGAAGACAACCCTCAGAAGTCGAAACTTGTGCGAGCTAAGGACTAACGAGGTCTTACCTTCTAACGTGTGATTCCTAACACGAAATAAGATATGTATTATGGTATTATATGTACTGAAGAAATATAACCGCTCTACCGGAAGGATTTTCGAACAAGGAAGGGGTATGAGAAAATGGAGCACTAATCATTATTATTGCCCCATTATTAGTTCTGAGAATAACATAAAGTGACATGACAAATACCTGCCAGACTCTTTTGAAAACTTGAGAATCTGAAGTTTTTTTATATCAATATTAACAATCTCTGGGAAGGTTGAGGATTGAATAATTTATCAATTCTGTATTTATTTTTTGTAGAGATTGTTGGTGGGTAATTTGTATTTCCTGTCTAGTTATGTGTTCTTAGTTTCAAGATGTCAAGTAGCCTCTTGAAAACGTCGAGTGATGTCTGGAAGGGTTGGGCAGATTTGTGTTTTCAAGCCATTTGAAATTATTTCAATTCATTTTCAGTGAATATAATTCATTGGCTTCAATTCATTTTGAAAAAGTGAATTGTGATTTGTTCTCATTTTCCGGTGAATTTTGACTTGTAAATGGGTTTTCTCGATTGAATTCGTTTGAATGAATCGAAACCACAATTAAGACTTAAAATTCACTAGTCATAGCAGATGCTCCTCGTCGTACAGATTCCGTCTTGGCAGTCCAGGCGATTTGATGAAAGTACGTAAATTCAGGAGATGAACACATGTGAGCACAATAAATTGAAAGATCTGACCTGAATATGCTGAACAAGTATTCCAGTGTCGAAGTCCTCTACCAAAAAATAACCTTGATACCAGTAAAACCACTAGTTTGTTACAATGATGAGTTTTTTTGAAAAAAAAACTATGTCTTTATATTTGAAATATCAATTATATTAAAATCGATAAAAGTTCATTATGTAACATTCAAATGAAATTTAACATTGAGGCAAAGTAAGTGATTGTTTTTTACCAGAAAAATATGTAAAATGAATTGTGAATTGATGAACACGACCATTCACAAGCTAACTTCTGGCTTGAATTCATTTTTTTCACAAATAATTTGCCAATTCATGAATCAAATTCATTTTTTCGAGTCAGTTGTGACTTCCAAATTCAGTTAATGAAACATTGATGTCGTACATAGAGCTATTTGAAAATAACCTCATTTACCTACCTAAATAGGCTTGTATAGAAACTACATAATGAGTGTATGGGATCATCTAGAAAAATACCTAAATACCTATTTGTTATCTTTCAGATTTTTGGGTTGTGATACACTATTATCCAATTAGGATGATAGTCAGCCCATTTATGAAAATTTATAGAGAAATATTATCTACTCATACAAAAAGTTACTATAATTGTTGCATAAAAGCCTAGTGAGTAAAGGTCCGCAGCATGCAATTGTGAATGGAAGTTGTATGAAGAGATTCAATTACCAAAAGTGATTTTCTGTAACAAACAAATGTTTGAATTGACTCTGAAAGTAGACCAAAGTGCTAAATTTTGATTTTAGAATCAAGATTATCACATGAAAATATAGTTTTGTAATCCTACCTTGTACTCCATATTTAGCGGCTTTGCTTTGATGTGCAGTAGCGTCCAAGGCTCCAAGTTTAATTTTTCCTTTCAGTTCAGTTGCGGCTTTGGCCCAATGGGGGGCCAAGTTTTTGCAATGACCACACCATGGTGCAAAGAACTCTACCAGCCACATGTCTTCAGATTGTAAAACGAGTTTATCAAAATTGCTGTCAGTGAGTTCAATTACATCTTTGTCGCTAGAAGACTGAAAAGTATTTTGCAGCAATTATGAAAAAAAAACTACATAACTACTGGCATAAAAATTTATTTTTCTTCACTTACTTCACTTGATTTTGAAGAACCACCATCTAGGGTCGACTTAACCTTACTTCTGACGGCTTTCAATGCTGCCTCAGCTATATCCTTGGCAGTTCTTCCTCCATTATAGTCTTCTGCTTTGTGCTTATTCGCACCAAAAATTTTGATGGTTGGGAACCCTTTAACATCATATTTTCCTCCCAATTCCTTGTGTTCATCAACATTAACTGCTCCAACTTTCACGACACCCTTAAATAATAAAATTGTTAAAAACAAAGATACCAGTTACTTTCAGTTTGGAGATTATAATGAATACCTCACCTTGAGAGCATTTGCTGCCTTTGTATACTCCGGAACCAAGTTCTTGCAGTGTCCGCACCAAGGGGCGAAGAACTCTACCACCCACACTTCCTCTCCTTTAATCACCAGCTTATCAAAGTTACTTGGAGTTAATTCAACTACATTTCCACTGCTCGGATACAGAGCTAGACAGCTTGATGTAAAGAATGCTAAAACTGTAATGAAAACTTGTTAATAATGTTGATTATAACCTACAATCCAGCAAAAACTACCATAGTAAGGATGACTTACGTAATATTCTAATCATTTCTAGTTTCAGTCCTCCGATTTTTCTGCCAAATTTCCTATCAGTCTTGTCTCCTCGCTTTCAGTCGACTAATTCACCCATAAAAATCCAAACCGGTCTTTGGCATCAACCTACACCATTGACACAACAACAAAATGATTCGTTTTCGTTGTCAGGAATATTCGTGGTATGCGCTGATTGGCTGTCTCTGAAACAAGGAACACGTACAGTATGTACTGTACTCTATGTGTGGGATACCAGAGACGTTGGTTGTCTCTGGGGATACCGACTTTAGCTTTCTAGTGACTTTACTTTTATGGTGTGGATTGTATCAAAAAGAGGGCAGCATTTGGTCGAAACGAGTGTTCATAATAAGAAACTTAAGAAAGTGAAATAATGCAGAAGTATATAAAAAAATCTGTTTAAAATCAATTTTTTCCGTTAACCAGCTATCGCACCCTTACGAACGACAACCCTCAGAAGTCGAAACTTGTGCGAGCTAAGGACTAACGAGGTCTTACCTTTNGGCTTGTATAGAAACTACATAATGAGTGTATGGGATCATCTAGAAAAATACCTAAATACCTATTTGTTATCTTTCAGATTTTTGGGTTGTGATACACTATTATCCAATTAGGATGATAGTCAGCCCATTTATGAAAATTTATAGAGAAATATTATCTACTCATACAAAAAGTTACTATAATTGTTGCATAACCTCAGAATTACCTCACAATAAATGGAAATTGTAAATCACTGGGACAGTACCCCAAACACACTTTACAGGGGCTGGAAAGTATTTTCAGAGTTAACCGATAGTATAATTTGGTTAGCAATTGTAAACACAGCAGGGTGTAAAGCTGATGAGTATAATGGCAAGAACACCCACCTATAAAGATATACAGACCAGTACTTTAAATATTTATTTTGGTTAAATTGAAAGTGGTACATTTTAAGAGAATTTAATTTTTGGGAAAGAAAGGTTTTGACTTTCTACATATCTATCTTCTTATTTCAGAGTCATTAAAAGTCATTAGTTACATCAAGCCTTAGGACTTATCGATGTTGAACACAATCTTAAATTAGTTTGGAATAATTTTTTAATTTTCAGTTTGTGTTGCTATTGAAGCGGGTTTTTTTAGTTTCTTAAACTATTAGTTATTTTCCTTATTTTCGCTTGCTATTTCAACCCCATTTGTTTTAATATAAAATATATACGCATGCGCAGACAGTGTGGTTGTCTCACTTGCTCTCACACAGAGACTGTGTGAGGAAATTATTCAATCCTGGCGATCTTGATCAGGATAATGAGATAAACTTATGGAATTGTTGTATTGTCACCGATTCTTGATAAGTGTACAAAGTTTAAAATACATCTGTCCCTTTGGAAAGCCAAAACCTTTCTTTCCCATTTATTTTAGTATTCAGGTTGATCGGTAGATTTCTAAATATCTCTCATCAAATTCTAGGAATAGTCATCTCTACTAGCATGTACTAGTTCTTGTGTTCGTTTTAAAGAACAATTGAAATTTCCATGAAATTTTTAACGTAAACGTCATGCCAATTCCAAAATTATACGTAGGTACAAATGGCGACAATAATACCAAATACGTACCTGAAAACTTATTTGGAAATTATTTTGCCATTCAGATTTGAATTGTCGATTCGGCATATATCGTAAACAATATACATATAATAATGTTTTTTACTGTTCTCTATTCGACACGTATGTAATATATTTAAAAATAATTTCGCACATAATAATTCATTGAGGCTTCCAAACAAATATAATTGTTTATTTATGATTTTAGGAAACAGTGCAATTTTCATCAAAATTGGTGTTCAATCATTCTCGAGATATGATGATTTAAGCAACACAGTGCCGGATTAGCAACGTAACAAGAGTAGCAAATGCCACGGGCCCCGCGACTCGAGTGGCCCCGCGGCCCAACACATGTCTGACCGTAAAAAATATCAGTTTAGATAGGAGTGTAAAAATATTTTGCTAGGCTATGCTTCTCTAAAAAAGAATAATTAAAAATTAAAGAAGAAGAATGAAAATGAATAGCTAAAAAAACAATTATATTAAGCAAAAAGAAACCTGAAATGAAATAATAGTGAAATAAAATACAAGTAAAAATGGAACAAATTAAATTAAAAAAGTTGAGAGATTCCAAGCCAAGTTACTTCACGACGTTTCGATTTTTAGTATCCACAATCGTCTTCGGGTGATGACTGGATCGATTCCTCCGTGAGCTGACTATTTATAGGTCATTTGAGTACTTTCACTTATATGTGCTTTCCTTTTTCCGCTTCACTGGCTAAGTGGGAGATGACCGTTTGACGAGAGTTGGCCATTTTTCGCTTGATTATGGGTTTCCATATATTGTGTACCTCTACGCTAGCTTGGCTGAATACATTGTTGGATAACATGTATGCGGCTTCTTTGAATTTCCTCCTAAACCAATGTTCCTCTTTGTGTATGATCTCAGCTTGGGACCATTAGATGTTATGTTGATGGGTCCAAACATGCTCTGCTATTCCTGATTTACTGATTTCCCCTCGCTGTGTGTTTTTTGTGCTCGGGAATGCGAACATTCAATGACCTCTTAGTTTCACCGATATGGGATTTTCCGCACTCACAGGGTAGATATCCGGTAAATGCAATTTTTGGAATCGCAGTTCGCGTTTGGTGGCCTGGATTTCGTGAGGCTGCTACAGATAGTGTTTCTGGATCTGAAACAGGTTCTAACGTTGTACTTGGATCCAATTTTTCGTATCTTTTCCGATAATCCTCTGATGTAGCGAAGTGCAAGCACTGGTTATGACGGCGTCTCTTCCTTTCGGGGCTCCTGCTGTCTTTTAGCCAAAGTCTGTTCCACCATCGCTTTTGAGTAGCCATTTCGTTGAAGATCATTTTTGATGATGTCTAGTTCCTTCTCGAGACCCTCCTTTGTATTATAAAGTCCGAAAGCATGGTCTAATAGAGTATCAAAACTGTATTAGAGTATCAAAACTCTGAGTATCAAAACTCCATTAGAGTATCAAAACTCTATCGGAGTATCAAAACTTGAGGACAGAATTTGGTACAGGTCCGGCACTGGCTTAATCCGACACTGACAGTGTAAGTAGACCTGTTAGACAACGTAGGTTATTCCTGCCGTAGTCAACACAACAATTTTAAGTAACATACATTGAAGGATGTATTAATAATTTGAAATGGGTTGATAATGGTGGATTGAGACTTGAACTTTCCTTCTAGTTCATATATTCAGTGTTTATTTGGAGAAACATGGAGCGACGTCAATGTGTGGTTGTGTCAGAGTCAGCAGCGTGATAACCTTCCAGACCAGAGTTGCCAGGAATTCATACCAGAGACAATTTATTGAGTCTTTCTAATGAGGAGGGTTTTTTTTGGCGATTAACTACTAACTTGGACGCTGCTCGGTGAGAGCCAGGTGCTTCCAGAGGCGCTTGGCTGTCCGAAAATATTTTCATTGATTTATATATGAAGGTGTTTTTGATCCATCAGTGAACCAACATCTGCCCTTAGTATTTCCTCGCCCCGAAGGATCCAGCCCTCTCTACTCCGGATAAGGATTGTATAAAGCAGGTCGTGGTTGCTGTGACTTTCAGGGTCAACTAGTAGTTTGCTACGCTCCCCACAACCCTGTTTGTGCAACTGGAAATATACACACCTCTCTACGAGTATGTTGTCCATTCAGTTTCCTTCTCCAAAAATTTTCAAGTAACTGAAAATGGTCTAAAAAACCGTAACCGGTCGTAACAAATAATAAACTTAGTAGAAATTAGACAAAAGTTATTTACTTTCTTTATTCTATATTCAATATGAATTTCTACATAGCAACAATTTTGGCTGAACGTTTGTCAAGTTAAGTCAAGTCAAAATATGCTTTATTGTCTGAAGATTCATATCTTATTGACAAAACTTCGTTGAAATAATAACAAAAAATTACACATATCAGCTATCGCTACTTAGTNTTCCCTTTAATGTCAATGGTTACCAGATCATTCAGATAAAGCAGAAAAAGGATAGTACCCAGAACCGAACCTTATGGTACACCTGATGTATTATTCTCAATATGCGATGTATTTCCTTGGAATTTTACTAACTGCTTCCTGCCTGTTAGATAACTGCAAAGCCAGTTATATGACAATTCTCTAAAGCCATAGCAGTGAAGTTTAAATAGTAGTGTTTCATGGTTCACGCAGTCAAACGCTTTTGGAAAATCACAGAATACTGCCCCAATAGATTCATTATTATTTGAACCAATATATACATCTTCCAGAAAAGAGAAAATAGCATCGCCTGTGTTTTTATGGCTTTGGAGTCCATATTGAGATTCGCATAGTATGTTATGATTACTTAAGAAGTTAAGCATTCTCTTTTTAACCAGTGTTTCGATTATTTTTGAGATTGTCGGAAGCAATGATATAGGCCGGAAGTTGGATGGATCATTTATTTCACGGCGGAATGACTATTGCTTGTTTCAGACATGTAGGAAACCTGCCAGAATGAAATGATTTATTAATGGCCCCAACAAGAATATTTAAAGCGTATTCTGGAAAATTTTCTAGGGTAGGAATGATTGGTGACTACTTAATTGGCTTATTTTTTCTAGCAGCAAGATCAACAGGTGAATACTACACGGACTCTTTGCGCGATCATTTACCCATTTTGTTAGAAGAAGTGCCGGTACTTGTAAGAGGCAACATGTGGTTTATGCACGACGGGGCTCCAGCTTATTTTACTATTCTTGCTCGTCAGCATCTCGACATCACCTACCCTAATCGCTGGATTGGAGTGCAGGACTTCAAAATTGGTCAGCTCCCAGTCCTGATATTAACCCTCTAGATTTCCATTTATGGGGTCATACGAAGGCTCTTGATCAAATTTATATCATATTAGACAATGGAAGTCCGAACTGACGAAATGCACCACGAAACATTGTCAACCACCTTCAAACCAACAAGATTGGTTTCTACATTTAAGTGCTTGATTACCTAACACATTCAGCGATACTGAATATGGTTCATGTTGACATTCAAATAGTGTTGAACACTTGGAACGTTTATATGTAGAAAATACTCGCCAATATGAGTACCTACCGTTAACCAGAATCAACCGGAGATCTAACTCAAATGAAACAAAGCTGTACAAAGAAGTAAGGTGATATATTCAAATCACTCG